CTTACTGCTCCAATGTGGATGATGAACTTGGTTTTAAACAAACAGGAAGAATCCTGAAGGTTATCTCCATTCTAGCGTGAAAAAGTTACAGTGAGTATAAGGGGAGAATGAACAATATCATTTGGCAACAAAGAGAACTCAAATTATTAATTTCAAATCATAACATGCATCCTTTTTTTATATATGTATATTATGGAAAACCTCTATTAATTCAACCCTATGTGATTTGGCATTAATTCCCCTGGTGCTTCTTGCTTTTAGTTTTCTGCATGTTGTTTGGCTCTATCTTGTGACAGGTGATTTTGCTTTTCTTTATTTATTTTTTTTCTAAGCTTGAATGGTGGCAGCAGGTAACTGTCGATTATTCAATCTCATTGAATGACAAGTGATGCGGAGATCGTATTCAAATTGTGAAATATTATTTGTTTTAATTTGAAAGTTTTGTGATTTTATTTTATAAAAAACGTCTTATATCGAGTTTAACTATAAAATCAAAATTACACTAAATATTTGGATTCTAGAGATAGTTACTACCATGCAATGCTTAATGATTCTTATGATTTCGTAATGTAGTATTTAATGATTCTTACGATATAACACTTAATTTTTATTAATTAATTATCGTTTTGATACTATTTATAGAGACTTACATCCAACTTATAAAATATTATTTGTTTTAATATAAAAGTTTCATAATTTTTTCTTATAAAAAATATTTCATAAATTTAAGTTTAAATTTTTATATATAATTCGCATTATAGTCACATATTTTTTTAATAGAGGATTAAGAACGTACATGTGAAGATGTAATATAGCAATTGTTTTCATTGGTAGGCCTTCCTGATGGGGATAGCTCACCCAACTAGCTGAATGTGTAGGTAGAACCTACAGACAACAGGCATCTTGGTGTTGTTGACAGTCAAATAATATTGCTGATAGCCCAACCACTCATGAAAACATGCCACATTAAACATGGGGAAAAAGAGCCAAACAATTTGCAAAATTTTTTTTCCTTTTCTTATATCATGTAGATTTTGACATCAAACATCTATATCTTCTCTGCCCATAAGCATCAAAATCTCATTTCCCTTATTTACCTTCTCCATGAAAAAATGGGTTGTCAAATTAATCACCATAAAAATAAATCTTAAAAGATAAAGTTCAGTCAATTCCTAGTTGAAATATAATCATCTTGTTGTTGGTTCAGACTTCAGCATTTGTAGTAAAATTAAGGTTCAAGAATATACATATATAGTACATTGCACTGAGTCATGGCAAATATAATAAGGAAGTTTGCAGAGATGCCAAGAATTAATTAGAATCATGGTTCTGATCAGATTCACCCATATTCCTTTCTATATTTTCACTACCTAGCTAGTACAAGAACATACAGATTTCTTATTGCATTCATAGAAAAACTCCATTTTCAAAATTTTTTGTTCAGGTTAAAAAAAAAGGCAAACCAAGTGGTACTAGAAAGACCCAGGTCTGACAAGAAGCATCCAGGTGATTATTGGAAAGCAAAATCCTCTTGGCAACCAGCAAGACATTGGTAACTAAAGGTAGAAAAACTTTATACTACTAATTCCTTTGTCTGTGAAATTGGTATATATGTTCTAAATTTATTCAGTTGTATTTCTGTGGCTGCAATAGGATTGTTTTCATATATTCTACTTCTTTGTTCATGTTTAATAGTTGTGGTTATATATATATATATATATATATATATATATATATATATATATATGCAATGGAAAACAATCCTATTGCATTCTTTGGACTCCTCAAAAGGTTTTTTTCATTGAAAGAAAGAAAAGAAAAGCAACTAAAAACATCCATGGTGATCATTACTGGCATTGGGGGAGGACAGTAGCAGGGTAATATGGCAGAGACAGCTTTGGGCCCCAAACCTTTAGTGTACTATTGAAACATTGTGGACCTAAACTCCCAAACAATTATTTGTGGCGCCCAACTTTCTGCACCAGAGCTGGGGTTAAACATGTTACATTGCCATGTGAATTTCAATAGGAAAACAAAAACTGAATGCCATTCTAAGATCTGGATTTCCTTGTAATTTATATGACTAATGTTTGCATAAGTGCAGTCAACAAGAATAGTTAATACACACCACAAACCACACACACGAAATATGGAAAGTCTAAACGTCAGCCAGATCATGGTTTTGCAATGTCCGAAAAGTCGTAAAAGATCTATAAATCATTTTGTGGGTTGATGGTTTGTTCTTACCTTAGAGATGAATAATCTCTCATACTCTTAAATTTTAATCAACCAAAAAAAAGAAAAAAGAAAAAAAGGAAAGTCTCTTTCTTTGTATTTCTATGGATTTCTATCAAATGAGGCTGTAGGCTCCCAAAGGGCTTGAGATATTTTTTTTATTAAAAATAAAATATAAAAAAATTGAAGGGTACTGCCAGAATTTCATCTGCCCATGATTGTGCAGCTCACACGTTTCCATGTGGGACTCCCAAATGCTGATATTCTTAAGGTCACATGATCATTAGGTAAACAGAAAGTTTGCTAAACCCCAAATAGACTTAAAAAAAAAAAAAAAAAAAGTTTAAAAGGTGCATTGTATGGCAGCCACAACACACCATGTGATTTGATTTTGACCCAACCTTAGAATATGTTTGACCAATCAAATCTACAGTTTTTTATAATATAAAAGTTCTTTATAACTTATAAAAGAAAAGGAAAGATGAAGTAAAATGAAGGGAAACCCAAGTTATACATATAATCTTTGCCTTTTTAGGGTAGTTTAAAATTTACAATTCTTGTAAGTAAAATTGTGTCTCTATTGACAATTTTTAATAAATACAAAAAAGGTTCAAATCTTAAACCTACCAAATTTAATATGAACATAAGAAAGTATTTCTGGATTAGTCTTTCTCTTAAAACATATAATTTTGCATTAAAATGTCTTAAATTTTCTTATCTTCAAGACTAAGATATCATAAACCATAAAACCAACATTAGTTTGAAAACATGTGAAAGCAAAGTTAATAATACATAAATTTGCATTGTGAAAACATTGACCAGTCAAATTGTCTCATTAACTAAAAATGTTGTTTCTTTAGATTCCCCCATTTTTTTTTCTTGTTTTTAGTTCTTGTCTCTCAACAGTCAATACAAATTGTTAAGGGACACAATCAAAGTTTAATGCAATTTCCAACAGTATGTACTCTGTAATTGGACTGAAAACAATGAAACAAAACCCAAAATATGAAAGTCAGGTTCAAATTAAACCTATAGACTGAAGCAAGCAAAATTTTATTAAGTTGGCCAATCCTTGTAGGTTGTCTCATACCAGAAGAAACATTTCACATCAATTTCATCACATGGTGAGTTCAGCAGGGCACCCTGGAGAAATATTTTAATATGAGGCTGTACTTGTGTATTGAAGGAATAATAATTTTTTACTTACAAAATTTCCAGCTTCTGTTTGCTGATCCACAGGGTTGCATATGCATGTGAATCCTAGTTCCAATAGATAATTTTATGCTTTTATTTTGGCTGGTGCAATCTTATATCAGCATTCAAAGGTATAAATAACTGGTGTTTCTGGTCAAGATTTCAAGTTAATTGAAAACCACAAAGTTTTTATGATCTACAGACATAATCCAGAACCATTTTACATAAACATACCCTGGTGATCCAAACTATTGGAAGAATCCTATGAAAGGAAAAAAGAGTGAAGAAAAGCAAAATTTTGCTTTGAAGTCAGGAAATGAAAATCTGATACAATGTGAAATCAGAACACAAAAAGTTGGGTTGCAAGTGATTCTTTGCTTTACTACAGTAATTGTCTGCAAACAGATTCCAATTCGATTGAGAATCTGCAAAGTTAGAATTCATAATATATCCTTCACAACTATATAATTTATGTTTGAATTGATCCTTGAGATAAACTATATATTTGTTTGAGAAGCTTGACAATGTTATATGTACGGAGATTCATACTTAATTTGTGAGATATTGTCTATTTTGAACTAAAGAGAATTACATTAAATGACGTTGAGATTCTAAAAGTAGTTTTCACTGTGTAGCACTTAACTTTCATTTAATTGATAACTTATAATTAATTTATAATGTATTATCTGTTTTGATCTAAAGGTTTCACAACTTTGACTCACAAAAAACATATCATAGATTTAGAATTAAATCTCTATTTATATATCATACTAAATTTTTAAATTATTCTGATGTGAGATTGGGATGTTATAATTTGCTAATGGAAAGCTCAATGAAGAGAGTAATTTTTGGCAATGAAATTATTAATAAAGTGCTCAGGCTAGCTTGGAAGGAAGCGCTACAAGCACAACTACAAGAAGGGAAGATATACATGTAGAACTGTAACCTCGAACGTGAAGTTGTGGAGAGAAGACCAAAGAGGCCCCATTTAAGTTTGTGGGACTCCGTCAAGAAGCAAATGGCACTGTAACAAGTGCATGTTCCATTCACCAAACTGCAAAATTATTTCAATTTTTAAACCTAAAACTGTCCTTTTTGTAGAAAAATGGACACAATATCCTTATCACAAGAACCAGCTAACAACACTCTGACCCTCCCTCCCCTCTCCTTCCCTTTTTCCTCACTCTCTCACTGTCACGCGTGTGTTTTTTTCTGATATAAACTTAAAATACTGACATTATTATGGAGGCCTGTACGACAATGGTGTCTACAAAAATAAATGATGGATCTCCAAGAGTGATCGGAGATTCAACAATCAAGCAAAATCTTATATCAGCAAGAATGAGGACCTCCAAAATCCTCAGACCACCGACCAATGGTGTCATGCCACGACAGCAACAATGGTACGCATAACATGCAAAACTTACATAATAACCATTCAAATCAGTCCTAAGTCCTAAGGAGAGTATAGAATTGACACTTTAAATGCAAATAAACATTGATCAAATCAAACTAACAAAGCTCAAATTCTAAGGCCCTACTTCACCATATATAAGGACATATAGCCCCACTACTGTCTACAGCCCTGAGAATCCTTGTCTGTCACATCTCCTTTTCACCTTCTCTTTCTCTCTGTTCATCTCTCCCACTCGCAGACAAAGAGGTTATCAGGTTAAGTTAAAGAGATCAAACTCTGAGAACTGTCTATCCATTATTGCTAGCTAGTGTTGCGGCTACAAAGCTTATTACATGGATGAGAAGTGGAAAATATCAAAGAAGGAAGCTTCAGGTATCCATTGTTCAAGTTCTTCAAAGTTTTCACTCTCAAGGAGTTTTTCAGCAAAGAGCATTTCTTCCAAGTCTCCTCTTCTTAGGAGTTCTTCACAGAAGAACTCTTGTTCTTCTTCTTCTTCATCATCTAAATGTCCACTACCCCGAAGTTTTTCGCAAAAGAGTTCGTCTATTTCACGTAAATGTAGTAGCTTAGCCAAGGAACAGAAGGCAAGATTCTACATTATGAGGCGCTGTGTTGCCATGCTTGTTTGCTGGCATAAGCATGGAGATTCTTAAAGAGATGAAGAGATGATCATAAATAGATCGGCAGGGAAAGTTCCTTTCTCTTTTCTCCAATTGTTTCTGCAGGATGGTTCTTGGATTTTGTTTGTCTTGGGTCTTGGATTTCATCCATTGGATCAAGATCAAATAAATGTCAGAGTTTTTCTTGCTTACCTTCATTTTTAATTAGTTCAGTTCAGTTTGTAATTATAAATGAGAGAGCTACAAGTTTTATAGTTGTAAGAAAAGACTATATCCAAAAAATATATTTCTGTCAAATCTTAAACTAGATAGAGTTTTTTTCTAATCTTTTCTTCCTCCTTTTGCACCCTGTGATTTCTTTGGTTAATCAAAGCAGATGTCAGAATCAGGAGATCTTCTTAAATTCGATGGAGTGGCTTTTGGTTGGTTATGTTGTTCCTATGAAATTCCTTTCAGCTGCAGCCAGTATAATAATAGGACATCATTGGCTATTGGATCTGAATTGGGAATGAAAGCCATCTTTTTCCCTTTTAGAAAAAAGAGGTAGGAAATGAGTATTCTGTTAAAAGTGAGAGGCAAACCTTGGATTGAACCTTTTAATCATAAGGGCCTGTCTGGCTCTTTTCCTTTCTGTTCTCCCCCCTTATCTCAATTTCATCATTGAACTCACCAAGTCATCCCCTGAAACTGTTTTTTGATGTGCTGATAACTTCTATATGGATAGCAGTAAATGATAAATGATAAGCATGAGAATCAGTGAAAAACAGTTCTCCAACACTTCATTGGAAGGAGTACCACATCCTGACAGCCAAGTTTACTAACTGTGAGGCAACAAAATACAAGAAAAATGCCTTTAAACCCAGAATTGTTTCTGAGATACATGTACTATAGTCATTTATCATGTTGCTCTCCATCTTGCATTAGCCTGTTCCAGCCTTCACCAAATAGCTGCATTTTAGCTAAAATGTGACATTCCATATTTTATTAAAGCTCTTGTTTTTAACTTCCCTCCACTGTTGAAGCAACTTCATCTTCAGTAATACTAGTACACTGGTGCATCAATTAGCAGCAGCACTAGTATTTTGTATATTCATGTATTTTAACTAAGTTTTACATAAAGTCAACCTTTAGATTAATAATGATCTTTGCTGTCCAACTAGCTAGGTTCAACACAAAAGTTATTACTCTGAATGAACCTCTATAGACAAGTTGGCAGCAACTGACAAAAAAATATTTCATTTAACTTCTATTAGACTATGAGGGAGAGGACTAGTACAAGTAACTATGATGATCAACAAGATTTCAACCAATTTAAAAAGCTGTAAAAGCTCAAATTCTTTCAACTAAACTATGGCTGATGTAACTTTGCATGCTGCATAACTTATAACCATGGCTCTTCCAAACTGCTTGATTTATGTGTTCCCCAAGAAAGATAGGGTACAGCTGGATCAACAGTAATCTCGCAATGGGATTTGCATGGAACTCATTGTTGAAAAATATCTAAGAAAATGCAAGGAATTAGTACCAAGGATTATAGTTATACCAGCTCAATTTTCCCACATGCAGGAACACCAAATTCTGTGCCTGCATTCTGAAAATATATATACCCACATCAAGGATTTACCTAAACAGCATCGAACCAGGGCAATTGGAATCAATGACTGTTACTGCAATGAAAGAAAATAGCAAGTTGACCATACATTATTCCTGTGAAGATATTACGAAGCTCCAGAATTGGTTAACGAACAAGATGTGAAAATTGGCATTGTTTGATTCACCAAAAAAGGACTAATAATTCCATCACTGTTCTCTTTGGATAGCCAGTTGTCAACACAGCAACTTTTGCCTGGATCCAAACATTGTGATCAGCAATCATCAAAATCAACAAAAGAATCATGTCTTATCAGATACATAATTATAAGTTACTGTCATATAAACTATTGCGACGGTCCAAGTTTTCCAAGTTCTAATCATTCTTAGTCAAGAAGCACGAAACCAACGAGTTACATCCTAGGCCACCTGTTGGTCCATCTATCTGTGACCTGTCCCATTCTTATGGCTGGTGGCAACCATTTTCATGGTATAAAGGATGCAATTTACTATATGATTATTTGAAAATATTATCCATTTTATCACATTTATCGGTGATAATAATTTATTAGTTTAACTGTAATATTTCATAAATAATAAGTTGATTTATCATAAATTGATAGATGCACGTTTAAATTTATATCATAAATTATGTCAAAAAGTATATGCCATTAATGAGGCAAATATAAATTATGTCAAAAAGTATAAATATTAAAGGAGTTTGCATTTGATAATTCGTGTATAAATTTTATATATTGTCATTGAATCAAATGATATAATTTATTAATGAATTTTTTTTAAAAATAAATTTTTATGTATTTATCGTAAGGGCCTATAGATACTAATGACTTGATAACACATTATCAAAAAAAGAAAAAAGGAAAAAAATTTCTTTCCTCGTTTAATTATTGATTTGAGGGCATATTATTAATTTATTACTTTGTTAATATTTAATTAATTATTCAAGAAAACTTTGCTCTCTTACTAGCAACTATTCTAAGATAAAACAGTATTATGTCTTTACATAAGATAAAACAGTAATATGTCTTTAGGAGCTTTTTATAAAAATAATATTTTTTATTATAATTTATGAGTAAAATAATATTTTTAATAGAAATTAAATTTTTTGTTTTAAAAGAATATTAAATTCTTTAAAAACAGAATTTGAATTTTTAATTTAGTTTTTAAAAATCTATTTTCTTTTAATAACAAAAAATATATCATATATATATATATATTATATTACGAGATTTATAGTTATTAAATAACAATTATTGATGTGCACGTTTATAAGGATAGGTTTTTTTTTTAACACGTAAGATAATTTTTAAAACTTCTTATTATGATGACACATAAGGTATTTGTTAATTTTAAATTATTTATAAAGAATATATTTTAAAAATTATTAAATTATCTAAAATTTTAAAATTTAATCAAAAATCATTTTAAATTTTAATGAAATTTCTTTCTCTTATATATCACTTCATCTCGATTTAAAATCAATTTTAAAGTAATTTATCTTTTTCAATTTATCTAAAATTAACATGAGTATTTAAATTTATCACAACTTTGAAAAATATTATTTAATATCTTTAATAATTTTTTATAAATAATCATTATATTATCTTTAGCTTTTAAATATATTTCACAAAGGAAATGTGAAAAAAAAATATAAATACGAAAACAACTTCAGGAAAGTTTCTCTTATATATAATCTCATCTTAATTTAAAATTAATTTTAAAATAATTTATTTTTTTTCAATTTATTTACAGTTAACATGAGTATTTAAATTTATCACAACTTTTAAAAATATTATTTAATATCTTTAATATTTTTGATAAATAATCATTGCATTATCTTCAACTTTTGAATATATTTTACAAATGAAATATGAAAAAAAATATATTTATAAATATCAAAACAACTTCAGGAAAGTTTATCCTATGTATCACCTCATTTCAACTTAAAATTAATTTTAAAATAATTTATTTTTTTCAATTTATCTGTAGTTAACATGAGTATTTAAATTTATTATAATTTTTAAAAATATTATTTAATATCTTTAATATTTTTTATAAATAATCCTTACATTTTGGCTTTTAAATATATTTCACAAAGGAAATGTGAAAAAATATATATATAAATACCAAAACAACTTCCGAAAAATTTCTCTTATACATCAAGCTTTTTTTGTATATCACATCATCTCAATTTAAAGCTAAGTTTAAACTAATTTTATCTTTTTTAATTTATTTACAATTAACATGAGTATTTAAATTTATCACAAATTTTAAAAAAATTATTTAATATCTTTAATAAAATAATCATTGCATTATCGTTAACTTTTAAATATATTTCATAAAGAAAATATAAAAAAATATATATAAATATCAAAACAACTTCAAGAAAGCCATTATTGTTGTAGTTCTTGGTTATATAACTTTCTCATTGTCTCACTGAGGTCAATGTATTTTTCTCTACTATTAATTTAATCTCTTTTTTATTAGTCTATTCTTACTATAAAAATTAATATGTTTTTTATGAAGATAGGTATTATTTCACTAAATATACTATTCATTCCATCAAGTAGAAGGTATTATTTCACTAAATATACTATTCACTCTATTAGGTAGAAATTTTTTTTTCAAATCAGCTTTAATATTTTTTTTAATTGTAATTTTTTTTAAAACTACAAAAACACATATATTCTTATATTTTTACCGATGTTGTATGCAAATCTTTTATTTTTTTCACGGATTTTACTCAATCAAGTAATATAGTTTATTTTTTAATTGATTATTTATTCAATATTTTCCTTTCATATAAAATAAAAATTATGTTATAATTAATTGATATAATAAAGTTAAGTGTCATAAACATAAACTTATATGTCAGTTGTACATTCAAAGATTGAATAATTTCTTAACTCATATCCCCATTGTGAAATATGTAACATAATTTCAAATTAGGAGATTGTTTTTTATAAAAAAATAAAATTGAAAAGAAATAATTTAAGAATAGTTTCATTAGTAATATTAATTTCAAGTTCATTTATATCTTAACTTAAAAAACCTCATAACCATAAACCATAAAAATTTCACCAAGATTACTTAAAAAAGAATATATGAATCTTATGATTACTTTGCAATTATGGAATAGAGGATTCTTTATAGCCTTCAGCAAAATTTAAAAAGAAAACCTTATTTTACTATGATTTGATATTTTAATTATATTATTTATATGTTACATATATTTTGAATATGTAAATAATTTAATAATATTAATTTTTATTTTTCTTTAAATTTAAATAAAATAAAAATAATTTATGCATTGCATGGGTAGCAAATTAGTATATATTATATTACAACATAAATAATTATCAGATAGCAATTGTTGACGTGGACGTTTACATGAACAACTTATGTTTTTAAAAACGTAAGGTAATTCTTAAAACTTTTTATTATGATAATACATAAGATATTTATTAATTTTAAATTATTTATATAAAATATATTTTAAAAATTATTAAATTATCTAAAATTTTAAAATTTAAACAAAAACCAATTTTAAAGTAATTTATCTTTTTTAATTTATTTGTAGTTAACATAAGCATTTTAATTTATCACAACTTTTAAAAATATTATTTAATATCTTTAATATTTTTTATAAATAATCCTTACATTATTTTCAACTTTTAAATATATTTCACAAAAAAAATGATATATATATATATACACACACACACACACCAAAACAACTTCAGAAAAATTTTTCCGCTTCATCATTTCATCTCAACCATAGGGGGCATAAACCTTCCATGACCATATTTTCAATGTGGTTTTTATTTGTTATAATGACAAAATTTTAGATCCGACCTTTAAAATAATAGCTCATTGTTTCTCAAACATTCGAGATGGAATGTAGTTCTTTCTAACCAACAGTCTTCCTGCAGTCTTCATGGCTTGATAAGGGGTGAAAACATGGAGCTTGGTCGTGATTCTGATACAGGTAGCCAGGTAATTTTTTTTCACCTCTTTAAGGTTCTGTTAATTTGATCACTTGTCAATATCTTGAAGTGTTCTTGTTTGTCATCCACTTCAAATATGGTAAATTACCCTTTTGCTCATTGGGAAATTGGATATTGTCTTTAAGCAGGGTAAGTATGTAGTAGAACTTGCTATGGCCCTGGGATCAATGCCTGGAATTTATCGGGTTGATTGCTGACAAGACAAGTGACAGCTCCGGATGTAGATTGGAGTTATGCTGAACCAATAGAGATGCTTAGACCAAGAACTACAGAGAACTCGATGCAGGAGTTTTGGTGAGAGTAGTGGTGCTTATATTATTCGTATACCCTAGGGCCCAAAAGATAAATATATACCAAAAGAACTTCTTCGGCCTCATTTTCCTGAATTTGTTGATTGTGCACTTAGTCACATTCGACAGATGTCCAAAGTTCTAGGTGAGCAAATTGGTGGTGGGCAACCAGTCTGGCCTCTTGCCATTCATGGACATTATGCAGATGCTGGTAACTCTGCAGCACTTTTATCTGGAGCTCTAAACGTGCCAATGCTTTTTACTGGCCACTCACTTGGTCGCGATAAGCTAGAACAGCTCTTGAAACAGGGCCGACAATCGAGGGAAGAAATAAATATGACTTGCAAAATCATGTGGCGGATGGAGGCTGAGGAGATGTCTCTTGATGCCTCTGAAATTGTTATAACCAGCACCAGACAGGAGATAGAAGAGCTGTAGCGCCTTTATGATGGCTTTGATCCAGCATTGGAGGGCAAACTTAGAACAAGGATCAAAAGGGGTGTCAGCTGTCATGGGAGGTTTACGCCTCGTATGCTGATAGGTATAAATAGCAACTTTAGAAAAGTTTTTTATGCGCATCAACTCATTTTAAAATTACATAAATTTGTAGATTTATAAAAATGATAAAAGAAATTAAAGATATGCAAATTGAATAACGTTCAAATGATAAGATTTTTGGTTTCTATTTTAATATTTTGTTGATATACTTAATAATATTATTTACAATATTTTTTATGTTTTTTTTTCTTTCAATAATATTTATCGTATATTTTAAAATTTGTTAATTTTTTAATTAAAATTTTATTTTTATTATAATTTGATATTTTAATTATATTATTTATATTTTAGATATATTTTGAATATGTAAATAATTCAATAATATTAATTTATATTTTTATTTAAATTTAAATAAAATAAAATAAAAATAATTCATATATCGCATGAGTAACAAGCTAATAAATTATATTACAACAAAAACAAACCAAAATATAATTTTAATTTAACATTTTATAAAATATATATTAAATATGAAAATTTTGAGATAATTTAATCTTATGCTTCCTTTAACTTTGAAAAAATTCTAGTTTATTCTTCCTTTACCACATGAAATACCAACTGATGTCATTACATGACACTAGCTAACATTTACTATCAAATATAAACTGTTCCATGAATGAAAACACCAAAATAATATAATTTTGAGTAATTAAAGATATAATTAAAACTTTTTAAAACTTAAAAGTCAAAATAAAATTTGAATCAAAATTTAAACATTACGAGTATAATCAACTCATTAGTGTATGACAAACAGTATAATGCAAGATAATTTCTTATCTTTTTTACCAACACCTACTAGATTAAGATTTTAATATCAAAATCTCAAATTTTCTTCAAAGTATTTAAGGGAATAAAAAAATTCTCTAACATCAATATAATTGAACTCTTAATTTTAATAATCACATTCAACTGAAAATTCATATATTAAAAAAAATTTTTGTTCAACCAAAAAAAATTAGATTTACAATAATGTGCATATAGATTTACTTAATTTTCTAAATAAGGTGTGACAATGATAATGTACAATTCATGATAAAACAAAAGGTATAATATATCTCGATAGAACTGCAAATTAAAATGTAAAAAAACTCATTATCGCTATTGAGTTTTAAAAGAGAGATTAATTAGATCAAATTTGAATTATTATTGCTCCAACAATTGCATAAAAACAATGTTCAATGCCGAAGTTGGCTTAGGCCACTCTCAAAACCATTATATATACAAGTTACATGGCTTAATTAGCATGATGAAGCTATTGCCTTATTTTGTTTCATGGAGCCGAAGATACACACCATACTTATCCTAGAGGATATTTACAGACACACCCAAGAAAAGGTTATTTTTATGTAACCGCAAACATGATTGTTTGATATACTTTCATGCATATACAGATTATTACTTGGTGAGTCAAGAAGTTAAACCATGTCTGAATCATCTGACTCACTCTCCCTGTTTTCCTGCCATCCTGACCCCATTATAAACTTACACGCAGGACATGTTCCTTGTTGCCGCAGCCATGGATCAATGCAGCTGGCATGAAACTGCGAGAAAATGTTATTCCTGTATCGAGTATCATATAATACAAATGGCATCAAGATAACCACCATTTACTTGGAATTATACCAAAGATTTGGATTTAGGATTTAACTATAAGCATCTCAACCAAGGACTAAGCATAAAAGCACAGGGATGCCGGCACAGGAACAAGAATTCAGAAATGCTTGGCAAAAGTAAATGTCAAGGACAGACTTTGAATGATAACGACTGGTAAAAGGTCATCCATTTGAGATAGGAAGGCAAACATTTACACTTTCAACGAGTTAAAGGAATTCACAGCTGCATCTAACTCTGAAATATTTGAGAACAAGAACATTTTCTCAAAAACGCTCCCCATAAAAAAATTGCAGGAAATTGGTTATAATTTTGCAGTTCATAGGCTTTAATTCACTAAAAAACCCTCTGTTGCTTTATTGATGTGAGATGTTGGTTAGTGCAATTCATTTAACATAAGAGAAATAGAAGGAAACAGACAACACTTTTGAAAGATGAACAGTACACCATAAAATCATTAGATGACAACAGATAACGTAAGTAGACTGTAAAAATAGAACCTGATGCAAACATGGCAAGCTCCGAACAAGCTTCCCCCTCTTAACTCGATCCAAGCAAATAGTACAAGTTGGTTCATCTTTTGAAGCCCTCATACTAGCCTTCCTAGAATCTTGTTTTGGCTGCAGTATATATTTGTGAATTAGACTTCAAAAACCATCCATGAAACGGTACATATGAAACGATTCTGAAAGAAGCAGACATAGACAAATTTGTCTTCAACACTTTAATGCCCTATCTGATTATGTCAACTATGAATACGAGATGTACTCAAGGACTTGTTATGTTACTAAGATCTTCTTTGCAACATATAAAAGCTTCATATTAAAATCATTGCAACTTGAAAATAGAATGACCAACTGCAGAAGGAATTGCTTGAAAGTAGTCTGTAATCGCCACTATTTTGTAATTGATATAAAAAGTTAAAATTAATTACTGATACCTCAACTGGGGCTGACGAAGATGATGCCTGTCTCACTGATGATCCAGCACTGTAAAAAATAATAAGGAAGATCAATTGATGCAATTATGAATTTGATCAAAAGAAAAATAAGCAAGCCCTGCATGTGCTAGTTCACAACCAAAGCAAGCTAGAAGTAGTGAAATCCCTACTACCTAAACAGAATCATGTATGTCTACCTTTCTGGGCCAGGGGCCTTGTGCTTGTGCACCGGTAAGGCATTTATCTCTTCCTTACTCATTGAATGAGTTGTGGAAGTATTATCAGAATCTAACGCTCTCAGGGTGTCATAATCTCGGGCAGAAAGAAAGATAGTATTAATCTTCAAGAAACCGAACTAATAACAATCAAAACCCTCTTTGCAAATCTGTCTGTCAATGCATGTTAAAACCAAACCATAAAATCTTATCAGTGTATTTTGAAAAAGCACCATACCTAGGTCATCAAATTCACGGTCAAGAAGGGCAAGTTGGAGTCTTAGTCATTGTAAGCGTCCTCTTGTAGCAAAAGCGATTGTTGGTGGCATGTGGAAACGCAACTCGGTATGAACAAGCAAACCACTAGATGCTGCAGCGTGAGTTCGGGCCAGAGCTTGAAGTTGCTGGCAAGTTGCATACATCCTAAGGTTCGTAGCCATTAAAAAGATACCCACGACTAGCCAAAGCTGCATGACAGATAGAGAGAATATGTATTAACAGATACACCAGCATGCTCGCAGTGAATGTGTATCGAGTGCATGCCAGAAAGCTTGGAGACATTTGGTGAGAGTTTAAAATCACGAATAGCAAAAGAACTACTGAAAACAAACAGTTAAGAACAGATTAGAAATGCAGGTTAATAAAAACAATAAAGAATGATTTAGAGAAAAAAATTAACAGATGCAATGGAAGAAAACATATGGAACTATAAGCATTACCTGTAACAAGAAAGGCCAGTGAATTGGAATTAACTGGTCGAGAAGCATGTGTACGCTGGAAAAGAAGAATAGCACGATGAGAGATCAAGTCCCATCATGCAGTATTAGACACACTGGCTATCCAACAGGTTAAAATGTACGGATTTAGATAAGGGAACATGCCAAAGAAGGACGTTCAGGAATATATCTTCTCTAGTCCCTCGGAAAACAAAACTGACAAAAATGTAGAAACTCCACTTGTCTAAAAGGTGACAGATGGTAGGCAAACAACTTCTTCTCTTGAAACCTTCAAATCCTATGATATTTTAGATGTATGTGAATCACTATTACAAGTTATTTCAATCAAACAATGCGCAGATGGCGAGGAAATCATGCTTTATTAAATTGAAAGTAACTCAAACTTTAAGGATTGTTGAGGTCTATTATTAAGCTAAAAACACTTTCCCCACGTACTCAATATCTTATCCACCAATCCCATCTATGGCTGGTTAATGGTTATTCGCAATGAAACTATGTTATCACTTAATCTACACTCACATGTTGACGATTTCTTAGCCAATGCTTTTGCTTGAGTCTCAAATAGAAATCATTATCCCTACATATGATTACAGAATGTACCCATCTATCAACATGCTGTAAGGTCTGAAGTGGCCATTACAAAACCAAAGATTCAATCTTGTTAATGCAAACCATGACTATTGCAATCCAACAAAGGAAAGAAAAATGGATCATAAAATTTTCAGTGGAAACAGAGCCATAGTAATCCCATTACAGAAGAAAACAATCGAGTCCTAACTACCCAATTTACTGATTCAAAGACACATTCAAATGCAAGCTTAAAAAATTTGACCCACTAATGAAATCCAATCGAAAATGCGTTTAACACTATGTTTGGTAGGAGGGAAAAAGGAAGGAAGGAACAGAAAATTCCAGAAAAATATATAAGCACAGTACCCTACATTGCCCTGTATGAATCAAAATCTCAGGGAACAAAAATTGACTTTACAGTCCTTGTTTTGCTTATAAGGAATCGCAAGGAAAAAGCAAAAGAAAATTCTAAGTTTTCCTCCGTTTTCTCAGCAAACAAACAGAATTCAATGCAAAGAAACGAAGAAGAAGAAAAAAAATTAGATACACAAGAAAAAATAAGATCAATCGATCAAATGGCTTTCCTTTTAATTGCATAAAATGAGCAATTTGAGAGGAAATAAAAGGAAAAGAAAAGGAAATGCGAGAAAATTCTCTCTCCCTCTCTCGTTTTCTCTTTCTCTGTCCGAAACTGAACCCTTTTTTTCAGTTTGAAGAGAGAAAGCTCTAGAAAGTGACACGTGGATATCTAAGCGCTGCCACGTCTTGTTGACTGCGTGAATGACTTAATATCAGCCGTTGGATGGCAATTGTGCCCCATCAGATTTGTGGTGCGATGATTCATCGCCAAGTCAGCAACCTAACTTCCAAATATCTCATTCTTATTTACAATATTCTGATAAATAAATTTCCAACATTAGTTTTAATTTTAAAAAAATAAAATGATATCAAATATTTTGATTTTTTTAAAAAATGCTTTCTACGTCTTATTTTTATTTTTTAAAATATTTTAAAATTATGGCTTTTTTAACACAATTTTTAATTTTTATATGTAAAATTTTTAAAATTATTTTTTTTTTACTTTTAACATTAAAAATCATCTAAATATCGGTTTCGGTAGCAATTTTGATTCATTCATAGATATAGTTTGAAAGTTGTTAAATATAGTTAGAGGTGAGCAAAAGTCGATTTAAACCGACTAGATTGATTGAAATCGAATGAATTCGGTTGAATCGGTTCGGTTTATTCGATTTTAGTTATAATCAATTTTTTAAATTTGTTAAATTGGTTAATTCGGTAAATTTTTTATTTTTAAAATTGATAATCGAATTGATCGAATTAACCTACTTTTTAATAAGTAAAAATAAAAAAATTTGAGATAAATATTTTTATTTATTTTTTTCTTGTAAAATATTGTTGAAATTATTAAATCATTTAGTCATTTAGTTGAATGATACTTTAGTTTGAGTTTTATTGAATTGAATTTGTGATTAAATAATTATTCATGACAGGAATAAAAATAATAAAAAAAATTAATTATTTAACTGAACCGAACCGATTTTGATCAGTTCGGTTATGATCGATTATTTAAAAATATTCGATCGGTTTGATTATTTATTAAATGAAAGTCAGTTAAATCGGCTATTGATTTTTTCAAATCAAACCGACCAATTACTCACTCCTAAATATAGTTATGAATGATAATAGTTTGATTCGAATCAAATTCGATTTTATTTTTTTTAATATTGTATAATATTATTAATATTTAAGATTCGAACCAAATTGAATTTTACTAGTTTTGTTCGATTTATTGATTTTTAAATTTTAATTTTTTTAATTTTTATATATTATTTTAATATAAAATTTTAATATACTTAAGTAAATTTTGATATAAAAGTTATTATTTTTATTTTATAAAATTTAAAATATATATACAAAAACTAAGAAAAATATACAATTCGATTTGGTTTGAATTTTTTCTTTTTTTCATCTCCTAATCCAAAATTTGATTCGAATATAATATATACATTTAATATTCAAATTTGATCCGAATCAAATAAAAAAAATCGATCCAAACCGAATCAAAATACTACATTGATTTTTGAATTTTTCGATTTTTTTTACTCCTAAATACAGCTTTTTACATTTTTAGGAAACTCATATTGACAATTTGACATTTTCTTTCCATATCTTATATCATCAGCCTCAGCCCACAAACATCCTATGAACGAGGTGCTTGGTAAGATGATCAAGTAGGTTGAGAAGGAAGATCTAACTAATTTCATGTCTACATAAAAGATTTTACCTAAACTTTGTAATTTTGTTAGGGCTATAAATGAATTGAATATGAATGAATAAATATATATTTGTAATTTATTTATTTATTTTTAGAGATGTTTAGGTTTGGTTTGTATTTAGTAAAAAAATTATTTGTTCGTTTGAACTCAATTCATTTAAATGAAAGGATATTCGCGTTTAGTTTGTATTTGGTTTAATTAAGTTACACAAATTTGTTTGTAGATATTTAACAAACATGTTGACAAATATATATAATCGAACTTATTCATAAACAATAAACAAATTATAATTAAATAAATTTAAACAAATAAATCTTAATTAAACTTAAATGAACCCAAACAAATATAAATGAACTTTAAAATAAAATTAAGATAAAAGATAAAAATATAATTTTATTAGTATTATTATAAATGAATAACAAATGAACAATAAACGAATGAATTTTAAATAAACTTCAAACGAGTTTGTTTATGAATATAAACGAATCGAATAAAATTCTGTTCATATTCGGTTTGTTTAATAAACAAACATAAGATTGTTGTTTTAGATCATTTGTTAAGCTTAATAAACGAATATAAATGAACATGTTCACAAATAATTTATCAAAAACTCTATTCGTTTACATTCATATTTGCTACTCTTTTGGATGTCATCAGATTGATTTTATATTAAATTCAAATTTTAATTCAATTAATTTATAATAACCTTTTAAAAATTTAAAAATATTATATAAATTCATAATATCAATCTTAATACTTGTAACCTTTTTTCATATCCTGGCATCAAGCAGGGTTTTGGATGGTTGCATGCGGACCCATTACTTAAGGCTAATGTTAAGACCACATGCACTCCTTCAAAAAACCAGTTCTCCAAATCCATCATATGCTGATGAAGAAATTGAACCATTCCTGATAGGCCGATACCCAAACCATTCTCCAACATTTTACTACTACTACTACTAATCCACAGCTTTTGATGCATTGTGTAACTTGGAATTGAAGAAGCATTAAAATCAAAATAATTGTCCAAGGAAGTTTCCAGACTTTCTGCTTCCAACACCTGTAAGGAAGCATGTGAATAGTTAAACTCACTAAAGCTTAGAAACTTTTGCTGCCCAATCACCAACATAAAGGGAAAATTCTCTACTACCCCAAAACCTGGCTACACCAAAAAGTTTCTGTTTTTGATCAAACAAATCCCAAATTTCTTTACATTCTTTTAGATCCATTCCTTCCTTCTTGCCATCTAATTCAACAACATATCAAATGACACAAGAAATTAAGATGAAATTGCAACTTGAATATTGCCAATTAAATGCTATTTAAAATGATTAAAGAACACATATTTTCCAAATTCAAACCCAAAAACAATGCGAAAAAAATCATTTTTTTTTAATTACCCCCCAAAAAGTCTTATTCCAAAACCAAGCTTGACCTTCTGCTTCTACTTCTTGTAAACCTACCAAACATGGATGTTGAACCATTTCCACGATGAGACCCTGAGCTCAAACCCCTCAAAAACGACGTCACATTTCTAACAACTCTCCTAAACCCATTCTCTCTTCTTCTAAACCCAACCCACGTGACTCTTCTCGCAGCTCCTTGACCCGAACCGGAGCCCAATTCACCAAACCCACCGTCCATCTCTGTATAAACCACGGGCACTTCCCTCTCTCCTGTAAACCTTCCCACCGCAAAAACCCCACCAGGTAACCTCCATATACTCAACCCTACGGTCTCCGAAACGCCATCGTTTGACTCGCTTCGATCTGTTGGCATTGCGTGGCGGCAGACGGGGCACGAGTTTCGAAGGGAGAGCCATGGGATGATACAATCTTGATGGTAAATATGTTTACATGGCATCTCCCTAGCTTCGGTCCCCAGCTCGAAAGGCTCTTTACAAACGGCACAGTGAATTTCTGAACAAACGTGGGTCATCGCTATTTGAATCGTCGGCATCGATTCGATCGCCGATTTAGAAGCTGGTGGGTTCTCTGATTGCCCCAGTCCGGTTATTTCTATCTGGGAAAGTTGTTCTAATAACCGATCGAAACCCAAGCCCATTAAAGATTCGGACATCGAAGTCGGTATTGCCCTTAAACCCGACCCAGATCGGTCGTAATAGAAGAATTCAAAGCCACTGTTGTTGTTTCCATTGGTGGTGTTGTTCTCCTCGTCGGTGGTGCCACGTAGGACGATGATTGGATTGATGTTTGGCCGGTCAACGGAACTCCAACGATTTCGACGAAAGGCAAGGTTTCGTGTCCGATTCGAGTATTGTCGGTTATTATCATTTCTGGTGATCATGTACATAGCTGGAAGTCGACGATTGTGATTATCCGATGATTCGATCTCCTCGACAAAACCTCCGTCACAGTACGGGCAAGCAACGGCGTCGTTGGTTCCGTCGTCTAAAGCCAAAACGCGAACCAGACGGGAGCAGCTGTAACACCAATACGGCGACGTTGACGAGATGCTTGACCAGCGAATATTCCAGATCCAGAAAAACTGACAAAAGGATTTTCAGAACTGTAAAAGCTTCACTTGCTTTTCAAGAGAATCGAGGCCACCTTAACGTTTAAACGCTGTAAATGATGCCCACGTGGCGATTTGGGAGTGGACAAAAAAGAGAAAATTAACGGCGTTAACAGATTCGGGACGCCGAGTTAGAAATTCAAAGTTCGAACAGTCGCCGAGTAATGCGGACGCGCGTGACGTGTTGGTGCGTGGTTGGGCAACCGGCAGAATCTACTAGGAAGATTCTTTAAAGGAGGCGAAGAGCGTCTTGTTCTGTGTTGGCGCGTGATGTGGACCCACATTGGTGTATGCCAGTAAAATATGGTCCCACAACAATGTCTTATTAACATGTGATTTTTTATTTCAACGCTAAATTATCCAAACTTTTTTTAAGGATAAATTACACGTTTATCGTTCGATTTTAAATAATTTTTTGTTTTATCATTTAATTATAAAAATTATGATTTAATCATTGATATTTATAAAATTTTTTTTATTCAACTCTTAGTGACTAATGGCTTAATGTGATATTATTAATTTTTTAAGTAAAAAATAACTATTTTATTTTAATAAAATATAAACGTGAAAAAAATCAAATTACGATTAATCTAAATGGCCGTTGTTTTTTTTTCATAATCATAAATTTTTTTATAATATGTCAGTTTATTTTATTTTGATAAAATAAAAAAGTGAAATAAAGCCAAGTTGATAAAAAATTTAATTTTTAATAATTGATTTATATTTAATAAAATTGATTAGTCGAATGTCTAATAGCTTGATTTTTTATAAGGATTGATTTATTTTTGAATAGTCAATTTGATAAATCTTAATAATTATAAAAATATATAAAATATCAAATAACAAACCAAAAAAAAATAATAATAATTTTTATCAATTCAAAGATATTTCATATCTGTATCTTTATATATATATATATATATTTAACAAAAGCCTCTGAAAAATACAAATTTTCTGAGAATTTTTTTTTATATATAGATAATATAGATTTAGGAATTAAACCAGCTATAGCTTTGTCAAACAAACTTAAGTTTTAAGCTAACCCATTTCACAAGCAATTGTGCCCAGAAAAACTTTTATGGGTTAGCATCTTTCTGAATTTAATGCCTTCTTAAACTCCCATTTATTTTATTCCATAAATTTTCTTGCCAAAGAGATATTTTTCATCTCTTCATTGAGCTGTTTCATACAATTTTTTTAATTAATAATTGGATCGATCATCAAATTGATTGAAAATTTGATTCTCAATTTAATCCGTTTGATCGAATTAATTAAAATAATATTTAGTGTTTATACATTAAATTTAGTATTAAGTATATATTAAATGTGATAAATATATGACAAAAAATAATATTTGACTAAATGATAAAAGTTTAAAACAAAGGTTCAAATCTTATTACTTATAAAATATTTTTCAACAAAAACAATAAATTTAAAATAATAAAATTTGATTCTGATAATTAAATCTGACTCAATCAAGTCAATTTGGTCTGATTCTAACCACACTAGTTTCACTTCCAGAATTCTATATAATTGATTTTATATGTGATTGGCTGTTGTATCCTCTTCTCGTTTTCTCTTTTGATAAAAAATAAGTTAGATTATCATGATAATGTATATTTTATATTAATTGTTTTCAGTAAAAATGTAACCGATTGAGTTTAATTAATATAACATTAAATTTGAACTCGAATTCAATTCGATCGAGTTTAATTCGAAATTTAAAATTCAAAATTCAGTTCGAACTTGATTGATTTTTTTTAACTCGAACTTGATTTAAAATATAAATTAAATTATTTGAGTTTGCTCGATTAACATGTAAAAATAAGTTATTTTTATATTGAATAAAAGATCGATTATTTATACTTGAATTTTAGATATTTTATTAATTAAAATAATAAAAATATATTAAAATATAAAATCTCAATTAGGCTTGTAAGTTATTAAAGTCAAGTATAAAAATGCATGATTTGAATCGATTGATAAATTAAGTTATTCGAGCTCGAATTCGATTTGATAATAATTGAACCGAATTTAAATTTTATTGAAATCAAATTAAAACAATTTATATGTATTCATATATTATTTACACTCTTAATCACCAATCTTCTTAAATAAAATTCCTTATACTCTAAAGTCTTGTCCCCATATACTTGTTGCCCACCTGGAGAATAAAAACGTGATAGTTTTTGGAAGACGTTCTTCTCAACTTTGTTGTATCATCAATTCAGTGAGCAAATTGAATTTAGGGTTGGTGACAATTTGGGATCTGATACACAAATTGTATGCAGGAGTTTGGGTTCTTGAGTTTGAGTTGGATGGAATTCAATGGTACTATTAGCCTAAGGATTTCCAATTTGTTCCCTGGAAAGATTCCTACAGCCTAAAAGAAAGCCTTTAAACAAGTAGAAGCTACTTTTTGATTGGCCCAATATGAAATGTTACCAATTACCATGGATAACAGAAAGATAAAAGAGTTGGATTACCCAAATTTGAGGTTGATAGTAAGAGATTGAAACCAAGGCTGATGAAGGCTATTTTTGATCTGAGCAACACTCAAAATAAATGCTTTTCTGTACAGTAAAGAACCTCTTTGGGAGCCACACATCACCTTTTTTACCTATTGCAAATTGCTACTTATTGCTTTCCATTTGAAAGAGAGCTATCAAGGCAAAAATTCCAGGGAGTACTAAAATATGGAATTGGATCGGATTTGATTAATTTGATTTTTTTAGATATTATATAATATTATAAAATTTAAAATTTAATTTAAATTTAAAATTTAATTTAAATTTAAATTAAATTTTTATTTGATTAAAATTAAATTGAATCAAAGTTTATTGATTTAGTTCAAATTGATTTATTGATTTTTAAATTTTAAATTTTTAAAATTTTATTTTAATATAAAATTTTAATATATTTTAATATAAAATTATTATTTTTATTTTATAAAAATTTAAAAATATATAAAAATTAAAAAATATATAATTCGGTTCAAAATGTTTTTTATTTTTATCCCTCGATTCAAAATTCAATCTAAATTTAATATATATTTAATTTGAATCAAATAAAAAAATCAATCCAAATTAACCCAAACATTATAATTTCAAATTAATTTTTAGTTTTTTTTAATTTTTATTCTCACCTCTACTAATAACTGGTTTCTACTGCCAAATGGCATGGCATGCATCTTATCCTCATTAACTACATATAGAAAATAAAAAAACAAAGTTCCAAACTAAAGAAATCACTCTAAATAATCCCTTAGCACCAAGCAAGAATAAAAACAACAGCTTGTTTTAATTCTGAATCACTTGGTCAATTACCCCTGATTTTGTTGAAAATTTAGTATAAATTAGCTCTCTTCTGATAGTTTTCTGCTAATTTTTAATGAACAAAGAATACATACGTAAATAGGTATTATTATTACATTGGATCAATAAAGACAAATTATCAGAAAGAATGAAAGAAAACTTGATTTGACTTAAATGTAGTCAAAAGAGTTGCAACCAACAAAAGGAAACAAGTGCATTGAAGTCTGAAAGTCTTTTGAACGGCAAGAAAAGAAGCAAAGATTGGGAGAAGATCCAGGGCAAAAATCCAATGTGAAAATATAGGCAACAAAAAGGGGTAGTACTGATATTTAACTAGATTTACCTGTACTGTACTTGCTTTGTTTTGCTGAGACATTGCCTTGGAGCAGCATTGAGTCTAAAGTGCTGATGTGTCAGTTACAGATTGCTGTTTCTGGAACACGAGGTAAACAAACATCATTATCTTGTACAAAACTAATTTCTTTTTTCATACATAAGTGTTATCACTTGGTCAATTATCCCTGATTTTTAGGAAATAAAGTAGTAATCTCATTTTAACTAAATAACTCAAAGCAATTTTTTCTTTTCTTTTCATTTTTTACTCTTTTGTGTATTTAATCCCAGCCTCACTGAATTGTAACAAAAACCCTAAAAAGGGTTGGCAATCGCCGCCGGATTTGATCTCAGATGTCAACTCTTTCTCTATATATATCACTAAGCTTCTTTTTACTCTCTTCTTTGATATCAGCTTCAAAATAAAAGCTTTTTACTTTTCTAGCTGTTTTACTTTGTTACCTCTATTTTATTTCTATTTTTATTTTTATTTTTGCTGGTTGTTGGTTTTACTTGGAAAACATGGTGCTTTTATCTGGTTTTCTTGGGTTAATTTTATGACATCAAAGCTTGACGAATATTTAAATTTGGGTACTATTAAATTTTTGTTATCTTAGTTTTGATGATCTTGAGGAGATGGGTTTTTGTTGCTTATGAGTTTAGGGTGATTAAAGTTTTGATCTTTAACCCATTTAGTAGCTTAAAGTTAGCATCTTTGAATTTTGTAAATATGGATTTTAGGTGTATTAGTGTAGAAAAGTTTTGTTTTTTGGGGTTTAGAGTCTGATTACTGGTTTAGGGTAGTAATCACTTTTGGGAGTTTTGATAGGTAATGATCAATTGGGGTTTTTAAGAATGTTATCTGAATTGGGTAGGAGACCAATGATAGGAAATAGTGAAGTAGCATTTGGGGATGATTTGGAGAAGGAGATAGGGCTGTTGCTCCGTGAACAGCGTAGTAGGCAAGACGCTGATGATCTGGAACGTGAGCTAAACTTGTATAGAAGTGGCTCTGCTCCTCCTACTGTGGAGGGTTCACTGAGTGCAGTTGGCGGGTTGTTTGGGGGTGGAGCTGCTGTTGGTACTGGTGGTGGTAGTGAGGCCACCGCCTTTTCAGCTTTTGCTGGAGAGAAAAATGGACATGGGTTTGCATCTGAGGAAGAGCTTAGGTCTGATCCAGCTTATCATTCATACTATTACTCAAATGTGAATCTCAACCCTAGGCTCCCACCTCCTTTGCTTTCCAAGGAGGATTGGAAGTTTGCACAGAGGTTGAAGGGAGGAAGTTCAGTAATAGGTGGGATTGGAGATAGGAGAAAAGTGAATAGGGCTAATAATGGT